CACCTCTCTTCAAACATCCCCCCCCCCCCTTTTATAATGTATTTTTATTCATAAAATTATGCGTGTGTATATATACTATATGTAAAAACAGATAGCTATATCGATCATGGAATTATAAAGCAGGTTCAGATAATGCAGAAACATTCTTAAATATTATACAAAGAACAGTCCATGTCACCTGTCAAATTATTGTTGGGTGCAGGCATAAATCATTAATATTATTATTAATAATAATAATCTTAATTCATAGGTATAATAATTAGGATTAAAATCACTAGTAATAGTGAGCATATTTATTATTTTTGTAACAGTAAGATGCCACAGAACCAACATATCTTGCTCTTTATGTATTAACTTCAGGACCAAAGTGACACTTGATATTTACAGTACATTTAGAAGGCAGAATTGCAGGCTTACTATCTTATTTACCAGGTTATTCTTTACTGCTATGCTGAATTTCAATGCCCCCCACTTGGCATTACTCTGCAGGCTTTCAATTAGAGAGAGACAGTGTAGATGTAAATAATGCTGTGCTTTTTCCAGAATCTTCTGTGACACCAGTATCAAGGGTGTAATAAATGCATTATGTGTAAAATAAATATTTATATAAATACATTAATAAATAATGTAAACTAAAAACTGACCCCAAATTAGTATAGTTTTCCTGTAAACAAAACATGTACTAATGTAGGATGCCATACGCAGCTTACTCCTTGCTAATGAGACTTTGAAGTCTCTGAGTTAGTATTGAAGTCAGAAAAACCAGGCACTTTCACAAGTCATTCTCTATATTTCTGGTGCACTTACAGGAATCTCTCAACACAGATTTTTTTTTTCTGTTACAAGTAAAGGTCATACTGAGTTCTTTTAGTTACCCCAAATCAAATTTATATCCTGTGGCAACTAGAAATGGGATCTTAATATTATCAGCAGCTCTGGTTATTGAATTAGTGCCTCTCTGGCAGACAATCCTTACATAAGGGCAGAGCACCATGAAGCCATTCAGGAAGCTTATTTGTGATAATTGCTACTCCAGGGAGATGCAGCTTGTGCCAGAAGACGGACACTCCTTGCAGCAGTACACTCTAACTACAGAAAGCCTCACCATTTTTATTCTAAATAGGATGACAAGTAAGAAAAACCAAAATAAAAGGAGCAAACAAAAGAAGGTGAAAGAGAAAATAAGCTAGAGGCAAAATTATAAAGAATACTTGAAGAGTTTGCTTTCCATCATTGGAGCATGTGGACACATATCCTTTGGTACCCAAGGCAATGCCCCTGGATCAATTCTTTTACATAGAACTTTGTTTCTTTTTTTTGTTTTACTGCTCATAAAGCGGACCTTTACCCTTATCTTTAAAATAACAACAAACACATTTTTAGAAATGTTTAGTAATGACAATCTACAAACACATACTTCTAGATAATTGCCGGCTTTGCATTTTTTCTGCATACCTTATTTTTCTTTACTTCCCCAGTCTTCTGACAGTGGCCATGTTTGCTAAGGGCAGATTACTAGATCTCCTTTTACTTCCTGGATTTCTGGCACATGTGACTAGAACACGTGACCATGCACATCAACTCAGAGGAGGAAAATGCCTTTCCCTGAGATCTTCTGAGATTACAAATGAGGTTTCCCAGCAATGCTCTACTGATGACAAGGCAATCCCAGTGTGCACTGCTTTGGCAAGGTGAAGTAATTTGCACGTTCAAAGCAGGAAGTGAATGCTCTGCAAGTGTAAGTATTTCAAAATCACAGCATTTTACACCTGATATGTCTATGTTATTATTAATAATCATACATAGAGGGATGCATTGGTAGAATTAGATTTTTGAGTGTAAAGGTCTGCTTTAACCTGGCTTAGAATATAATGTTAATGTAAAAAGCTTGTTTGAGAATAAAGTATTACTGCTGAAAATGGGGGAACAATGTGTGGCCAATAACTATACAGGAAACAGCCTCCTGTGATACCTATTGGCAGCACACGTGCACATTTTATTTGTGTGACGCACATCTGCCCTTTGATTTTTATGCTGGATTGTGACAATTGAGAGTGATAGAGATAGTAGAAATATACCAGATGAAGATTAATCAGTAATTAATTTGTAGGATCATAGGGAGAAGCAAACTTATTTATCCAGGAGGTCAGTGAAGAAATGGTACCAAAAATATAGGAAAACAAAGAAAAGTAAGGTAGATAGAGATAAGAGAGAGCACGCCAAAACCTTAATATACACACAGTTAGATCTGGAAATAATTGGACACTGACAGAAATTTTATAATTCTGGCTCTGTACGCCACCACAAATGATTTGAAATGGAACAACCAAAATGCAATTGATCTTTAATTCAAGGGGTTGAACAAAAATATCATATGAAAAATTTAGAAATTGCAACCATTTTTATACACAATCCCCTTATTTTAGGTGCTCACGTGTTATAACACAATCGTAACATTTTTTTTCATTTTTAATAGTTTGTTGAGAATCCTTTGCAGGCAATGACTGCTTGAAGTCTGGAATGCATGGACATCACCAAACGCTGGGTTTCCTCCTTTGTGATGCTTTGCCAGATGTTTACTGCAGCCGTCTTCAGTTGCTGTTTGTTTGTGGGTCTTAAGTTTTGTCTTCAGCAAGTGAAATGCATGCTTGATCGGGTTAAGATCAGGTAATTTAGCTCACCAGATCAGGAGAGATTGGGTTAAGATCAGGTGATTGAGTAAATGCAGAATATAACAGTTGTTTGCCTTAAAAAAACTCCTGGGTTGCTTTCACAGTATGTGTTGGGTCATTGTCCATCTGTAAAGTGAAGCGCCGTCCAATCAACTTCGCTGAATTTGGCTGAATCTGAGCAGACAATATATCCCTATACACTTCAGAATTCATCCGACTGCTTCTGTCACATCATCAATAAACACTAGTGACCCAGTGTTATTGGAAGCCATGTATGCCCATGCCATCACACTGTTTCCACTGTGTTTTACAGATGATGTGGTATGCTTCAGATCGTGAGCCATTCCAAGACTTCTCCATACTTTTTTTTTCTTCTCATCATTCTAGTACAGGTTGATCTTAGTTACATCTATCCAAAGAATGCTGATCCAGAACTGGGCTGACTTTTTAAGATATTATTTGGCAAAGTCTAATCTGGCCTTTCTATTCTTGATGCTTATGAATGCTGTGCACCTTGTGGTAAACCCTCCGTAATTTCTCTAGTGAAGTTGTCTCTTTATGATAGACTTAGATAATGATATGCCTACCTCCTGGAGAATGTTCTTCACTGTTCACTTGTTCACAGTAACAGCTTCCAAATGTGAATGCCACACCTGGAATCAACTCCAGACCTTTTACCTGCTTAATTGATGAGGAAATAATGAAGCAATAGCTCACACCTGTTAATGAAACAGCTTTTGAGTCAATTGTCCAATCTCTTTTGGCCCCTGTAAAAAGAGGGTGCTACATATTAAAGAGCTGTAATTCCTAAACCCTTCCTCCAATATGGATATGTATACCCTCAACTTAAAGCTGAGATACTGCACTTGAGCCCAGATTCCTTGTTTAACTGTCAGTGTCCAATTATTTCCATATATATATATATATGTGTGTGCGTGCGTGCGTTCGTATGTACACCAATTCTATCTATTCATTTTTTTTGTTAGTTTTTTTTTTTACTTCCTTTATTTCTAATTCTTGACAGGCCCAGTCTTGTTTTGAGACACAACCAGCAAGAATAACTGGGCTCTATTGGAAATTTGGTGTTGTATACACTCACAGATTATCATTTTCCCTTGTTACACGATTAACTGCAGTTAGGTCTTCAGTGCATATTAATGTTTACATGTAGGCCAAGCTGCAGAGGGAACAGGCAGGTCTGTAGATGCCCTATAATAACACTTGATATATGTGTTTATGACAGTGTTTTCTCATCAGGACATATTTAATTATGGTTTTAATTAACAGCTACATATGTCTAAATCTGAGAGCAAATTATGTTTTCAATTCAGTCTAGCAAAATACATTAGACACAATTTACAAGAAAACCACCATCAGGACATACCTTGAGATTGTATATGTGTTACATTTCCTATTCTGATCACAATCTGCAGAAACTCATGCAGATCCCTTCCAGAAAAAAGAACTAGATGGTGGACAATTCCCTGCTGAATTAAAGCGCATTGTGTAGAAATACCTTTGTTTTCTGGAACCTACAAAAAAGTGATATTGACTGATTGACAGGATTAATTTCCTGCTAATGGCAGAAAATTGAATAGAACATAATTTTTGCTTCCAAAAAGGGCAAGGAATAAAGAAAGAAAAAAGCTGATATGGGTAAATAGCGTTTCCTGAGATGTCCATGACATCACACATATGGGTTGACTCCACTTCCCTTCAACTCCCAGAATTGTTTCTCTATAAATTTGAGCACTGTCCAAGCAGGAACATTCCTTTTTTTTTTGCTCCTGCTCCCTGGAAGTATCCCCGTAGTTGTAGCAGTACAGTTGTACCATTGTTTAGCATTATATGGTGATGAGAGGTCAATAGTATGGATCTCTATATGAGTTCCCAGTGAACCATGGCTAGTGTGTAAAGCTTGATAACTGGCTAATATCCCACTGAACTCCTTAAACTGGGACATAGTACTTGCTGTCTAGATTGCTCATAGCTGCTGTTCTGCTATGCTGCTTTAGAGCTTCTACACCTCTTGTCTGTTATACCTGACCTCTGCTGAAGCCTCTGGGTTACCCTGCTCACTCCATTATTAAGTTGAGTTCTGCGCATGCAGGCAGACAGTGAGTGTGTGGGATGCATCCTTACAGGGTGTATTGCATTTGCACCACTGTGGGAAGGTCAAATGACCCTCCGGCCAGCTTGTGCCATTATGATGCAGGTCATATTCTGGTATGCCAATGTTCACATTTCCGCAGCTGATTTGGAGAAGTGAGTCTGGTGGAGGCAAGGTGAGTAGTTTATGGCTTTTATCTTTTTCCTCTGGAGTCATCTGTTCTATAGCAGGGTACTTACCAGCATTAAAGTGACATTAAAGTCAAAAATCTTTTTTCCTCCCCCCCATGTTAATGTCAGCACTTACCTTAAATGATGTCTTTCATTCCGATCTTCCTCTTCTTTCCTGATGTTTTAATCTGTCCCTCCAGCGGTGCGGCGGCTCTCCGATCCAGCGCTGACTGCTCTGTCCCTCCGATCCAGCGGTGTCTGCATGCGGGTGCACGCGTCCATACACTTACCTTGCGTACCTGCTCGTCTCCCGGCCGAGAATCCGAACTGCGCATGCGCCCGCCCCAAGATGCTTTGCAGCCGCCTGAACAGTTTCGTTTTCTCGGGCGGGAGCGCGCAAAGAAGAAAAGGTAAGTTTAAACCGCCATTTTAGCGGGGTTTAAAAAAAAACAAAACTGTTTGCCTATATCTACTGCTTGATAGCAGTAGATATAGGCAAAAACACGGGAGGGTTTAGAACCCCTTTAAGCAGATACATTTAAGGGTCAAGTCTGAACAAAAAAGGTAGGGACCAGTAAAGATAATGGATTGCTTGTTGAGTTAATATCAGTTTTTGTTCAGTTCTGTTTGTCTATCACAGCCCTTCTAGAGCTAGCTGAAGTTCCCATTGTCATTCTAAGGACAGTGAAGCAAGCAGAGGAGATTCAGCAGCTTTAAGCAAATATCATCATCGCTACAGCAGGTCACACTTACCGTCACGGCACTACTCTGGGCCTGCACTAATACTGTAGTACAGAGTAACCTCTGTGTGAATCATGCCTGCCTGTCATGTATGACAATTTTTTTGAAACTGCTTCTTTTTTTTAGCTGTACCATGTGCACATCTGTGCAGAAACCTGTGTCTGGGAGTGACAGCTGGTGTGTGTGCAGCCGACTGTGCAACTCAATGTTAGGATGAAGCTGCGTACTGCTACATGCTGACCCAAACTTGCACATCCATATAGGTACAGATGCAATTCCCTGGACGTAGACAGCAATGGAATTGCCACAGACCCTCTTGCATTCAATTCTTACTGATGGTTGCATGCTGTCCATAGATTAAAAGGATGTATATTTACATTCTCCGTTTAAATGATTATTTTCAGATGTACATCTCTCTGTATTGGGCAGCACAATGGCGTAGTGGTTAGTGCTTCTGTCTTGTAGTGCTGGGGGGGTCCCCGGTTTGAATCCCGGCCAGGTCACTATCAACAAGGAGTTTGCATGTTCTCACTGTGCTTGCATGGGTTTCCTCCCACACTCCAAAGACATTCTGGTAGGTTAATTGGTTCCGGTCTAAATTGGTCATCGTATATATATATGCTTGTAATCTCCTTGAGGGCAGGGACTAATGTAAAAGCGCTGCGTAAAAATTGTTGGCACTATATAAATACCTGTAATTAAAAAAAAAAAAACTATTGTGGTTGAGAAACTTCACTACCAATTTGTGTGCCTTCCATTTAGCCTCTCCATATACCCTCAGATGTTCCCCAAGGTTCTCCTAGCAGTCATAGCATGGTAGAGGAAGAAAGGACTACAAATCCAACATTACCTCAACAATGTTCTATTCCTAGCATGCAGTAAAGAACAATTACTTCAATAGGGTGAAGAAGAATGGACTACTCTCATCAACTTTGGCTAGATCATAAACTACTGTAGGAGCCAGTTAGAGCTATCACAGACCCCAGGAGCACAATTCAAGTCCACCAGAAGTGAAGATACTGATAGTCAGACAGCAGGTAATGGCCTGTACACTATCAGCAGCACAGTGTCTAAAAATCATCAGAACCCTGAAGGCTACATTCCCCATAATCCAGTGGCAGGTTTACCCTTCTAGTGTGGCAAAAAAATAAATTTTAAAAAAATCAATAGATGAGCAAATCCTTGGGACAAGATATTCATAACTCACCCAGTGAAGCCCAGCGTGTGGTAGTAGACACATGATGAATATAGCAAACTACCAGTGAAAGGCCAGGATGTGGGAGAGAGTCCCTGCTGTTTGTTACTGCATCTAGCTTTGCCCCAGCAACCTATAGATTGCATTCCTCCAAAAGTGATCCAAAATAGAACTAAGTCCCAGCTCACTTAAGGTTCAGGCACCCCTCATGTTTGTCCTTAAGAGCAGACCTAGATAGTAGTCCATTTTTTCAGAAATGTCCATCTAAGACCACTAAGGAGACTATGCAATCCTAAGTGGGGCCTGGCTATGGTTCTCGATTAGCAGATCCAACATTCAAGCCAAGTATAGGAGAACCTACTTTGAAAGCAGCTTTCTTAATGACATAAATCAGCAAGGAGGGTGTTAGCAAATAAATCCTTAGGGCATGCAGAACACTTCCTTTAAATTTTATTTGTCCACTAAAGTGATCTTGAAGCCAAGATTGGACTTTCTGCCAAAAGGTGCTGTCAAGGTTCTGTATAAATCAGGAATTGGGGATCAACTTTTTTTATACCAGAAAGTGGTCAAATACAGCCACTCAAAATGGCAGAGTCTATCTCCAGACAACAGCAGATTTCAGAAAGACAGAACAGCCGTTTGTAATTCATCAAGGGGAAAAGCAAAAAAATAAAATATTTCCTCTTTTGAACTTTGTCTATAGCAGCACATGATCCAACCCTAAGTAGGGGTCTGTAGTAGAAGCACACTTCTGCTGTGATAGGGCTTCAAATGATAAACGATCTTTAGGACTGAAGGGAGGAAGAGTCAATCCAAATAAATGCTTCCATACAGATAGATCAGGAATAGTCATACAACAAATATGTGTGCTCTGTTTTACACACGCATTACCAGTTTGCAGAGAGTGCTCCTTAAAAGGAGAACTATGACATGAGTGATTTCCACTCACGTCATAGTTCTAAGCCGACCTGTGACAATGAGACTGTCACAGGTCGGCTCAGTAGATCGGGAGGTGAGGGAACACATACCGGGTTCCCTCACCTCTCGATCCTGTCACGGCTCTCTGCCGTG